AACAACAACACCACCATCACCACCACCACCACCACCACCAACAACAACAACAACAACAACAACAATCACAACAACAACAACAACAACAACCCCAACAACAACAACAACAACAACAACAACGACAACAACAACAACAACAACAACAACAACAACAACATCAACAACAACAACAACAGCAACAACAACAACAACAACAACAACAGCAACCATCATGTTAAGACTGTTCGTTCCTATCTGTTCGCGGGCCACTCAACACGCACATCCCAAACCTTCGATACCCGCCCTCTTCGTTTTCGATCGTACCCCCGTGCGGGCATTCTTCCTTACGTGCACCGTGTAGTTCGCGCAACCATTAAGTCAGGGGAGAGAGGACGGATGGAAAATATGAAGGGACAAGGGGATGGAGGATGATGGAACACGGGATCAACAGGAGGGGGGTTAGGAGCAGGAAGCGCGTGCCAGAACCAAACGGGCGGGCAGACCCTAACGGAAGGGTCGGGAAGAAGGCCCACATGGACAGGTTGAGCAAACGGCTTGCCCGCGTGGTCCTGCATGAGCCGCGAGTACGTCTCGAACGATAGCACGATTCCACATGAATCGCGAAGACATCCACAGCGAGAGTTTGATTCCTGAGTGTCGAGGGCGCGGCGTCTGAAAAAATGGCGAGGGAATTCCACGCGAGAGCGCGATTCATTTAACATGTGTGAAGACGTCCCGCGCGAAAACGCGACCCGGGATTACATCATAATGGAAGTATGAGGCGGGAAACGTCGATGTTGTAAACAATGGGCCAAGGGCATAATTCGGCTTGTCCAGAACGCTTGTGTGCTTCTGTGTGCCAGGGCGCCTTCCAGCGTTTGGCGCATTCAGTGCACAGGGTCTTCCCACGCAAGCAATTTGTCGGGTGTATATGATGTTGTATGTTGCCTTGTCGCTGGGCATGGCCTTGCTGTCTAGTGCCCACAAACCTACCAAGACATGAATTTAGGTCAGCAAGCCCGCTGAAATTACGCATATACATAAGCGGGCGATAAGAAACCAAAAAGGCGTCCTATAATACTGGCGAATGAACACGGATCATGCTGAGCATGCAAATTGGGGCCCTCGGCCTTGAATTGTAGTTTCGAAATGCATCGCCAACAGAGGCGCATATGTAAGCCTATTGGAAAGGAGCACCAACGAGGGCGAGTCCCGTTTGTCATCTGCAGTCCTCCCCCGTGCACGCCATACCTGGTGACACCTCGATCGCCATTTAAAAAACTGGGCGCGAGCCATGGGGGAAGCACTTTAATCTAAACATGCAATGATTACCAGGCAAGGGACCAACGACAATGAGTCCTTAGAAATGGGCAACCAACAACAACAACAACAACAACAACAACAACAACAATTACTAGCACGTGGGGACATTCCGTTCTCACCAGTGCCAGAGTTTTCATAGGAGGCGGGCAATACCCCCACTTTGTGGGGGGGCCGGTTCAAGCTCTACCAAATTTCCAAACGACTCTTCGCCACCACCCACACCCAGCTTCCCGCCCTATGACGTTCGGACACTTCACTTCGTGGCATGCGGACGACCGTGGCTACTATTCAGGGCCCCGCGGCCGACGACGACGGCGTGCGCGCGCGAAGAAAAAACGAATGTGTCCCGCATGGTATTATTTGACAGGGATGATGGCCCTGGCAGGTGCGCAACCGTTGTTGCAGAAGTTCGAAAAAGTTGCTCGCAAAAGCCCGTTTGACAGAAATGTTTAAAAAAGTGTTGGGTTTCCTACGAATCCGCAAGGGCGCGCGGGATGAAATTTTGACAGTTTTTTTTTTGAAAAAAAAACCATTGGTTTTTTATGTTTGTATGTTTAAATCGCTACGAAAACTAAGGTTTTGGAAGGATTTCGTCTTGCGCGCGCGAATGTCCACTTTACCTTATTTTTTGCAAGGGATTCTTGAAGTTTGGTTATGTTAGAACAAGAAATGTCCACTTTAGCTTATTTTTTGCAAGGGAAAGCGGGCCGTAACAAAACAACCGGATCTGGATCACATCGTTTTGTCAAGGGCTTCCTCACGAAAATGATGAAAATGTGGCTGCGGCCTAGGCGCGGCGGGGGGGCCGTGCACCAGGGGTCCCAACAATAATTATTCTTTAGAAGTAATAATGTTCAACAACAACAACAACAACAACAACAACAACAACAACAACAACAACAACAACAACAATTACTAGCACGTGGGGACACACCGTTCTCACCAGTGCCAGGGTTTTCATAGGAGGCGGGCAATACCCCCACTTTGTGGGGGGGCCGGTTCAAGCTCTACCAAATTTCCAAACGACTCTTCGCCACCACCCACACCCAGCTTCCCGCCCTATGACGTTCGGACACTTCACTTCGTGGCATGCGGACGACCGTGGCTACTATTCAGGGCCCCGCGGCCGACGACGACGGCGTGCGCGCGCGAAGAAAAAACGAATGTGTCCCGCATGGTATTATTTGACAGGGATGATGGCCCTGGCAGGTGCGCAACCGTTGTTGCAGAAGTTCGAAAAAGTTGCTCGCAAAAGCCCGTTTGACAGAAATGATTAAAAAGTGTTGGGTTTCCTACGAATCCGCAAGAGCGCGCGGGATGAAATTTTGACATTTTTTTTGAAAAACCATTGGTTTTTTATGTTTTTATGTTAAAATCGCTACGAAAACTAAGGTTTTGGAAGGATTTCGTCTTGCGCGCGCGAATGTCCACTTTACCTTATTTTTTGCAAGGGATTCTTGAAGTTTGGTTATGTTAGAACAAGAAATGTCCACTTTAGCTTATTTTTTGCAAGGGAAAACCGATCGTAACAACACAACCGGATCCGGACCAACCCGTTTTGCCTGAGACTTCCTCACGAAAACGATGAAAATGAGGCTGCGGCCTAGGCGCGGCGGGGGGGTCGCGCACCAGGGGCCCCAACAATAATTATTCTTTAGAATTAATAATGTTCAAGCATTCCAAGAGTGTTCACTCCTACTGGCCCGCGCGTCATTCACGAGGCGAATCCGAAACCTTGGATACCCGCCCTCTTCGTCTTCGATATGACCCCCTTTTGGAAGGGTATATTCCTTCCTGGCCAGGGAAACGAAGGGGAAATGACAAAAAGAGACGACGAAAGGATCGGAGGAAGGGAGGGATTAGGGGGGCAAGAGGGAGGGACGACGATGATTTGCGCAATGAGTTGCGAGTCAGCTTGCGCCATGGCTTGCGCCAGCCATTTCAACACAGGCTAACAAAGGCTTCGCCATGGGTCGCGCCATAAACAGCGCCATGTAACACCTCTGGTGCTGCTCGGCGAGGTGCTGGAGGCGAGGGAGAGAGAATCGGAAGGAGGGGGGCGGCGGCCTGGGAGGAGGGAGGAGCAGGAAGGTAAGAGCGCGAACGTTCGCAGAAGTCCTAAGCGAAAGCGCCATTCCACAAGGAAGTCTCGGGCGGCAGCCCACGACGGGCGGGCGATCCTCTGACGGGCGGGTCGGGCGGGTGGGACATTCAAGCGGGATGCCTGAGTAGGGCGAGAGCGCGACTCCTAAGTAAAGGGTGACGGCGTCCTTGGCGCGAGCGTGGTGCCTGAGCGTAGATAGCGCGATGTCTGCATAAACCGGGGGAAAAACACAAGCGAGAACGCAATGTCTGAAAAGGAGATGTCTGGCGGGAGCGGGGGTCTAGACGAAAGAGAAAGGAAATCTTAAGCGGGAGCGCCGTTCTTGAGTGAATTGTGAGGAAGCCTCAAACGAGAGGGGGGTCCTGATCAAATAGCGAGGACGTCACAGGCGGGAGCGCCGGATCCTGAGTAAATTGGGAGGAAATCTCAGGTGGGAGCGGGTGTCCTGAGTAAAGTTAAAAGAAATCTCAAGCGGGAGCCGTTGTTGTTCTAGTCCAGGGGGGCAACACCGCAATTTGACCCGGATTCAGTTGTGAGGAAATCTCAAGCGGGAGCGCTTTTCCTGGGTAAATTAGGAGGAAGTCTCAGACGGGAGGGGGGCTTCCTGACTAAATTTGGAGGAAGTCTCAGGCGGGACTTGTTTTTGTAGCCCGGGGGGCCAAGGGCACAGTTTGACCAGGAAGACTTCCCTGTCAAAAAACAGGGTGCGAGCGTCGAGGGGCATACTTTGACTGAAAAAACAATATGCACTGGTGAGGGGGGATAAACAATAATTATTCAGAAATGAGAATTCAACAACAGCATCAACAACAAGAACAACGATATGTTTAAGACTGCTCGCTCGTATCTGCTCGCGCGTACCTCACCACGTATATCCCAAACCCCCGATACCCGCCCTCTGCGTCTTCGATCGTACCCCCGCTGGGGGGTACATCTTCCTGACCTGCCACGTGCATTGGGTGCAGCCCCTAAAAAAGCAAGAGGAGTGAGAAAGGAGCGAGAGAGAAAGAGAGAAAGAGAAAGAGAGGGAGCGACATAAAGAAAGAGGAAGAGAGAGAGAGAGAGAGAAAGCGAAGAGGAAACGAGTGGGGGAAGGGAGGGAGGCAAGGCACAAGAGGGAGGGAGCAGAACTGCGGACGAGAGAAGCAGCAACGGGGCCACTGACGGGCAGCAGCGGGGCCACGAAGGGCAGCAATGGGGCCACTGAGGGCACGAGCGAGCGGGGGCCACGAAGGGCGTATACATGGGCCACCAAGGGCAGCAGCGGGGCCACAACGGGCAGCGATGGGGGCCACTGAGGGCAGCAGCGGGACCACGAAGAGCAGCAGCGGGACCAAGAAGGGAAAAGCATCCAACATAATTTTGTCAGAACCCTCGAAACATCCATTGTATGGAGAACAATTCACTCCTCCTCGTCCTCCTGCCCCCTCCTCCCGGACCTCTCCTGCGCTGCGATCTGACCAGAATTTCGAGTCGTGCCCAGCCGTGGCGACAAGACGCACAAAAAACCCAACCCCCGAAACTCGAACGTCAAAGGCGGAAGGTTCTCCTTCCTCCTTCCTCCCGCCACTGGGAGCGAGGGCTGTCAGGGCGCCTGGCCCAGTGCTCCAGCAGCTCCGCGGCGTCCAAGGCGCGGTCCTGCCAAAACCCAGGCTCGTCTGGGCCGTCCGCCGGGCACCACATGCCCGGGGGAGGCCGAGGCGCCCCGGCTGCCTCGAGGGGCGGAGCCTCCACCTCCACATCCTCCTCCTCCTCCTCCTCCTCCTCCTCCTCCTCCTCCTCCTCCTCCTCCTCCTCCTCCTCCGCCTCCTCCTCCTCCTCCTCCTCCACCTCCACCTCCACCTCCTCCTCCTCCTCCTCCTCCTCCTCCTCCGCCTCCTCCTCCGCCTCCAAGCTGCCCCCCGAAGCACGTCGAGTTGATAGCGCCAACTTCAGAGTGACGAATTTGCATTATCGGGCCATTAGCTCGGAATTGTCCAAGTCCTTCCCGTCCTTCGTTCCACCCCGTTGGCCGCCTGGGGCATGGGCGCAGCGGAGCTGGTTCAACTACTCCAGAGGGGCGCAATTACCTCTGCGATCAGGCTCCTCTTCGTCCCGGGCCTGTCGTTAACGGGCCTGCCTCTGTTCAGTCACAGTCAGCCAGCGTCTCCGAGGACGAGCTCAAACAGCTCATCGCCCTCGGGAAGAAGGCTGAGGTCAGCACGAGACCGTCAAGTGACACAAGATGCAGCCCGAGCGCCGCCGGCAGCAACCTCCTCCTCCTGCACAGTTCCGAGCTGATGAGGCGTTACGTCGCATCGGTTGCCTCAGGAAGAAGCTCCGACGATGTCTCGAGGGCTGGCAAACTGTCCGCGCAGTTCTAGAATTCTTGCGACAAGGTTCAGCGCACCGAGACCGAGCTGCCCAAGGCCGAGGAAGAGTACAAGACCACCGCGGCTGAGATCCACACCCAGATGGTGGGCAACATGGCGACAGCCGCCAGCCCTGACCCCCGTTGCTCTCAGTGGAGGCAATCCTGGACGTCAGGCTCAGCTCCCTCGGCGCTGACGCGGAGAAGTTGTTCGGCCTCGACGACTACATCGACGTTTCGGATGAGGATCGTACTGAAGCCCAACGTCGCGAGGAAACTCATTCTCCAGGAATCCGCGATTTGGCCACCGAGCTGTTCGATGGAATCAGACAGAAAAAAAGATGAGAAGGAAGCACGCCAAACCCTGCTTGCTCGCTTGGCAGGCAAGGAAAGGCGCACTGGCACTGACGATGAGACACCTGGTGGTAGTCCTGTGGCGGGAGCAGCTCAGGAAGCACCTGCGGTGGCTACTTCGGGCTCCTTGTCGGCAGCGGGCACGCGTGCTGTCCCGGCGCCTGCAGCCGCTGCCTCAGCAGCAACCTCGCCCCGCCCCCCCATTCGACAGAGGTCCGCATTTTTTCGCTCAGCCAAGAGACAAGGCAAGAGCGCGTCGGCGGCGGCTGGTCAGAAGCCAGGGCCACAGCTTTAGCACATCCTCTGGTCCCAGTCGCAGCGGTCACACCTCCTCCAAGGCTCGCAGCACGTTGCTTCCCCAGACGTGCTCACCTGGCGTCTGCCCTTCTTGCGACCCCCAAGCCAGCCCAGGATTTTCGTCGTTGAACGTAGGCGTCCACACGGTCAACGTCACGTCCTGGCAGTCAGAATATGGAGGGGGGCCCAAGACATAGCTGCCGCAAGTCACAGCGAATGTGGTCTTGATGCAGGAGCACCGCCTTCTGGAATACGAGATTGACGACACCACCGCTTGGGTGCGCAATCACGGACGGCGTTGTATACTGATCCCTGCCGCTCAGGGCGTCGGTCAAGGGACTTCACGAACGCCCTGGTCTCCTCCATGGGCTCATTCTTCGCTAACCCCCGCCCATCCTCGCTGCTCCTGCTGTCGGCCCTGCTCCCGAGCCGCTGTCGCACAACCGCGTAATCGCGGCCGCCGAGCGCCCTCAGCAGCAGCGCACGCTGGGCAGGACCGCCCCAGTGCAGAAGGCGTTGGACGCTCCTTACAAACAATGGGCTTGCCTGGGCCCGCCAAACCACCCCTGTCTCGGCAGTCGTGGGCATTCTCGCTCAGGACCGACAAGCCCCCCACCGCCAACCAGAGCTGGTTCCCATCAAATGGTTGGTGAGTTAGTTTCGACCCCTTCAGCTGACGGCTGTCCAAGCCGACTGCGCCCAGGTCAGTGAGTCGGCGCGGAAGCTACCCGACTTCCTCGCCACAGGGGTGGAGGTGCACGCCTACTAGGACGATTGGAGTCGCGCCTTTCTCTAGACCCTCCCCATGGACATCGAGGGAGGAGAGAAGTTGCTGGAGCCTTTGGAGAAGCATTTTCAGTGTTTCGTTTCCAAGTCCAAGTCGGAGGCGGTCAAAGATTGGAAAACCTTATTCATCGAGAATGGCCACGGTTTTCACATGCAGCAGTTCAGCTGCCTCTGTGACGGTTCCCTCGTTGTTCTGGCGAAACCCATGTGCAGCACGGAATCCGCGGGCCTGTTTTTTTTCTGATCCAGCTTAGCGCAGCGGTGATGGCGATGTGGCAGTTTCAACAGCGTTTACCGATTGCGGGGCTGCAGTCGTCGTCCGTTGGCGAACGTATGAGAGAACTCCGTTGAGCGACCCTATTTTGCGGCTTCTGGCTTTAACTCGGCCGTGGACGTCGCGCGGCGCCACGGGCTCAGGAGTGAAACATGGATCAGATCTGGGGAAGTCTCGGCTACCCTCCTCTGAGACCTTGGCAAGTGCTTTGAACTAACTGACCTTCGGGCTCTCCTCGGTTGCTGCAGCCAACACGGATTCTCATTTTTCAGCTAAGACGCCTTGCCATCAATGCCTACCGCCCGGGACGGTACGTGTGCATGGCAGGAGCGGTTGTCAGAGGCTTTTACGTGCAGAGAGGGGCTGCTCTCTTGCCACGTCACTCATCCGCGCGCGCTCCATCGCTGTTTTGGAAGGCATCCGACCGCCGCAGAGAGTCACCCTGGACGTCTACATTGACGATTACAGTTCGAGCTCTTCCAGGTCCCCTTGGGAACATGTCGATAACCCCGGGACCACTACTAGAGACCTCCAGAAGGCCATCGAAGTCGACATGGGGGCTGTTTCGGCGGCGAGCGAAGGGGGGAATGAGAGGGAGAAGGCCTTATCAGAAGGTACGGAAGTCCCCCAGCCTTCTGAAAAGTGTTCTAAGCCTTCCCCGAAGACAAAGAAAACGTCTCAGAAGGCGCGAGGGCTTCTGAGACGTCCCGCCGCCTTCTGAGAAGGCCTTCTCCTTCTCACTTCCCCCCCTCGCTCGCCACCGACTATTGTCCAGGAAGGCAATGCCTCGCTCGCGTCGTCGTCGTTTGTTGCGGCCTCGGAGCTTCGATCCCATCTGGGGGCCCTGGCTGGCCCCATTGGCGCGTCGGCCACCAACCTGGGGGTCGACGACACCGCGGGCAGACCTCGAAGCGCGGCTAGACGTGGCAAAAAGCTCCTGGTCAGGAAGCGGGCCCTTGCGAAGCGCCCAAAGAGATTGTTTCAAACAGGCGTTCGGACATTTCAATCTGATCTTCACCGCAGGACCTATGCCCAGCTGCACCTACGGCACGGATGTGCACGGCCCCTCCAGCGCCGAATGGAGACAGCGTCAAGTTCCCGCTGCCAGCACGATGCAATCGCCTGCTGATTCTCGATCGCGCCTGCGTGTCCGTATTGTTTACGAAATACAAGCATGGCACGGCGGAATGGCGCACATCGCGCGGTATGCCAAAGAGATATTGGTCGACCAAACTCGGTTACACACCTTTGTCATTGAGCTTAGGGGCTCTGGGGCCGAAGTTGTTGTTCCAGGACGGTCCGTCGACGTGAAGGGGGAGTTCTTCGGGACGTCTGAGCGCCATGCAACTCTCCCTGGCTCGGATCGAGGGGTCTACGCCATCCTATACAACCCTCCTTGGTGATTTCGGTACAGAACTTTCGTTCACTGCTGTTTCCGCTGGTATGCTGGGCAAGCTGTTACACGCTGCGGTTAAGCGCATGCACGAAATAGAGGGTCTGAGTATGGCTCCAAGTTGCTGCCTAGCATCCCAGGGGCCCGCATGTGTCACGACACTGCTTCTGCCGAGATGAGGTCCACCAAACGAGCCAGGTGCGGGAGAGGCGGTACCACATCGATGCCTCATGCTGCGGTGTGGGCCCGTTCTCGCGCGCTGCAGGCAGGTGACCAGATCGACGATGTCTGCGGCCGACGCAAGAATAGCAAGCACACCATTCTTCACAGACCCTGGTGGTGTCCAGCTGTACAGGCGGGGCGCAGTGAATCTCCCGAGGCCGCCAAGGGCGGCTTCGACTTGTTCCCTCTCCCTGACCCCCCTGAAGATAACGGATCAAGATTTCCTCGGCAATCGCGGTCTGTTTCGCCACCTTGGCGGTGTGCTGCCTCGTCCCACCCGCGGGGGCACCGGGAAACACGGAGTTGCTGAGCGTTGGAGTGAGCATCCCGACAAGGCCGATTACATTGGCATCACAAACAATATCTCCGTTGACGGTCCGTGAATTTCTCTCGGCGGCGAGCGAGGCAGGGGGGGGTGAGAGGGAGAAGGCCTTCTCAGAAGGTTCGGAAGCCCCCCAGCCTTCTGAGAAGTTTCCTAAGCCGTCCACGAAGACAGCAAAAAAACTGATCAGAAGGCGCAAGGGTTTCTGCGACGTCCCGCCGCCTTCCGAGAAGGCCTTCTCCTTCTCATTTCCCCCCCTCGCTCGCCGCCGATTCTCACAAGAAGCCATGATGATCCAGGGTTGGCTGGGGCATGGTTTTAGTTGATGGCGCAGGCAACGAACGCGCTCGTGTCAGCGGTCCTAGTTGGGCCCCGTACCCCCAGACGGCCTGGGCTGGGGAGTTCGGCGCGCACGCTGCAGCTGCTGCTGCAATGCACGCGCTTGAGGACTCGTGAATTTGTCGGCAGGCCAGCGAACCTCCCGCGGCACCTTCAAGCTACAAACGCCCGCATACTGGACTTTTGCCTCCCACCCATCGTAACGTTGATGATGGCACTTTCACGGTCAAGGCTCACGTTGCCGACTCCACAGGCCTCAGCGACCACGAGCGATTCCTCAAGGCTGGGAACGGCATGGCCGACGCCGTCGCCAAGAGTTCTTTGCCTCGCCACCCCAGCCGAACGA